AACTTTTCAACGTCCCTCGGATTTGTCTATCATGTGGTTCCCGACACTCACTATGCTGGAACACTTCACGCTCAAATATCTGCTATCTGCACCCTTGACGGCTCTAATAACGTCGCCCACTCTCTAATGACGTGACCTGAAGTTAGTTTGTTGACTCGGAGTTCACCGACTTTGAGTATCGTTAAAACGGCCACGACGCTCTCTGCTCTTCCTCCTCCACGCGTATCTCCTGAAGGCTCTCGCATCCCGGATTACACAACTGGGACCGGCTGTACATAAATCGGTTACTTTCTCCTAGATGCTCCTGTGGAATTCGTGTAAGTGAATTGTGACACGCTATCTCAATCTTGACAACGCTTGAGCTTGAAGTGAATATTGATCAGCTCAGTGTCACTGGTGCCACCGTATCTGAAGAAGCTAAGTCCACTCGCAACACCCTGCATCTAGCGATCAGCTTTCTACTCGTTTCTACTCATCATTTGCTGAAAGCAGATCTGTGACTCAGACTCAGAACATTAAGAATGTCATCCGAACCCCCTACACCTGGGTCTCCGAGTAGCGGTGAGCAACGACTGTCACAACGGTTCATGATGCCTTTTAGTGGTCATCTCGATATACACATTATGTGGGCGAACTGATCAAGGTCCACGTCAAAAGAGATCGCGTTTCGGGTTGTACTTTCGTTCTAAAATCCATTCGCAAATTGCGCGCTTCGAATAAGCCAGCAAAGGGTCACTGACCTTCGTGATAAGTTTGACCAATAACTCGTTGACGACCAGTACTTTCTACTTTCAGACACTTACGAAATCAGTCCTGGATTGGAGTGTTGCGAACGAACAGCGCCCCATAGTTATCGCCAGGTTGCGGAGTCCATTTACACATTGTTGCCTTGCTTGCATTCCTTGTTGGGATGGGGTGACCATTCCGAGTGAGAGTTGACAGGCTACATGAGCTACAGGATTATCCAGTTAATTGAAGACCAATCAAAGCCCCTCGATTGTTTCTTTCTGAGCACAATGCGACTCTGTTGATTAGTGTACAAGCTATTGTCGTATCTCAATGGTCTTTTTGGTCGTTGTTTATCGTGTTCTGGCTAATCAAAATGTAAATTCTGAGATGGTGGAAAAAGTCTTTGGTTCTACCTACAGCTGGCAGTATGCAACAAAGTCGTCTAATTATCATGTTAGGAAAGAACTTCGTAAACAGGCAGCCGATCGCCAATACGGAGCCAAATCATGGCCGGTGAAGCGCCACATGGATTAGACGAACATTTAACCAACTGGGTGCACCGGCCAATTAGCACGAGATCGATATTGCTTGTTTGCTCATAAGTTGACACTTGTGAATGTTTCCACATGAGCTTTATCTGTTCACGAAGGGAGGGTGTGATTAGCTAATCTACCTCACTTCCTTTCTGCTCGGAAGAAACCGGTTTTTTTCTCTTTCCTCTGGGGTCCAATGACCTCTAGTTCTGATTACTAGCCAACCATCAAATCAGGCTAGGGGCGACCACTTCAGATCACTTGCTTGCTCCCACCAACTGGTCTGTTTGCCTTCCTAAGGGACTGACATTTATGTGTATTTATTGACATTTGATCTTTTTAGTCATATATTGTGTTACTGTGAATTGCGTATCATGTTTGCGCCTCCTACTATGCCTTTTGGTGCTCAATGTCTAACTACCATGTGTTATATGATAACTGGATTTTCTCCATATCCTTAGCTGCGACTCACCATAGCCAGGCTGACTATGCATCAGGGAATCTCGCAGCATTGACGTTGCAGATGAAGTATGTATACTGGTAATTGACATCTGTCCTGTCAGATTGGTTGACGACCGCCAGCAAAATGGTATCAGCACTACGCCGGTACGCCATACCGATGCTCTGCTGCCACGCAACCACCACCAGTCGCACGTACGCTAAGGATGCTGCAATGGTCGCCCGCTACGTCTTGTGCTTTCGGCTATGGGCCGACAAATGCAACACTGGATGTATGTGTGCTCAGAACTTTTATGTTCGGCCAAAATAACATCGACGCCTAAAAAGGGATAAGTATCACATATATATTTCCACAACCACTCAATCTACCAATATCTATCAACATTTCTCATCTGGTGCAGTGTCATTCATTCCATGCCGTCTGCATTGGATAAATGATGTAAATCCGAACAGATTCTTTTTCTTGGTTATTCTGGGGTTTTCGGAAGCCAGGATGAATCAGCGATGCTCAGTAGGCTTTCTGAGGACGTAGCTCATCCAAGTGTTTGCAATCTTGTGTGACTTTCTTTTTACGGATCGTACTCGCTTCATACAGTCGAACTGTGATACATCCTCTATTCTCCACGCCGACTCTGATATTCTTGCGTGGAACGATCCTATCATCTCTATTTTTCTTCTTTATCCTACGTCTCCCTATGCCACTCATGTTGTTTGGAAATACGCTGAAGATATCATTTTAGAGTGCACAACTTCACTGTTCAGGCTTCTTCATCGCTCCAACGTGTATTAGAACACCTGCTTGAGTAGTCTTCATCCAGTTCTCTCAGTTTTAACGACTTTAAATGTATTACTTTTTTCATAAATTATCTCTAATATACTGAACGAAAACCACATACCTAGATCATCCGTTTTGAGGTAACTCAACATCTTTTTTTATCCCAATACCTTTATTGGTCCATGCAACATTTGTGAATGTTTTCACCAATTGTACTACTTCTTTTTGGCTGTCAAATTTAAGATGTTTACAGGACACGGTAGTTTAAGATTTAAGTTTCTAACTTCGCGCATTATCTCCCATTGGTTATGCTGCTATCCGATCATCTCTCTTGGTCTGCACTACACCTTTAGTGACACGACCAACAAAGTACGTTTCCAAATACAGCGGCCTATCCAGAGATTCTCCAGTTACTTTGATTAATAATAGATAGATTTGTTTCAAAGAATTTTGAAGAAAAGTCCAAGCCGGTACCAGTTTTAACCGCGGCGAAGGAGTTATTTTTAAGAATACTTTTTAAGGGGGATGCCGCTGCCGAGCGCCTAACCAAAAGTCTTTCAGCGGTAGTCAAGTCGACATCCCCAGCAGCCAGGTTAAAGCGCACATTTTCTACTGAACCATTTGTTTGTTCACGCAATAAGGATACGCTGCCATTGCTGACCTCATCTATGGTTATTTATCAGTTCAAGTGCGTTTGTGACACTACTTATATTGGTCGAACGGCACGGCACTTGTCCAAACGCGTGAAGGAGCACTGCCCGCGCTGGTTGCGTCAAGGAGGAACTAGGGCCATTAGCAGCGCCGTTTTGGCCCATATTGTCGACACGGGGCACCAAGTCGACCTAAAGCGTGCCTTCAGGATAATTTACAAGGTCCCCCAGCATCAATCAAGAGGTTTGCGCCTCCGTGCGCTCGCGACAGCTGAATCGATTTGCATTCGGTTGTTTCAACCTTCATTATGCTCCCAAAAGAAGTTGCTCCATGCCTTACAGCTTCCCTGGCCAGCTAGAAGGAATGGTACTGAGGTCGATTGCCACAGATCAAGCTCGATAACATGCAATCGACCTGTCAGATCAATGGTCAACTTTTAGCCTCCCTCACTGATCCGTTAATTAACTATGTAACTTGACCCAATGAGTCGATTTCAGTTCATTATTTTACCCTTAAATATGATTGTAATGGTCTGAAGAGAATCATCGAAAACAATTGTTCACCCATGGTCTCGTGTTCTTTTTACTTTGATTATGTCCGGTCATTTTGACGCCTGCAATCATTTTTCTTCCGAGCTCCTAAGTGACCGTCTTCATCCACTTCAGAGAGTCGACCCATCCGAATTAGCCTCCTTCTCCAACCACGATCTCACTATCGATACCTAATGATAAAAAGCATATTACTACTTGTTTGTACTGTGTACAATTCGTTCTTATGTGATTCCTTTTTTAAATACCTTACTACATTGAATTTCGGCGCAGTAGCTACGGTATCCCCTACCTTCATCTAACATGCGGAATCATGATGATTACACAGTGACCTTCCAAAAGTTGTCTTTTTAATCTACGCGGTCACTATTTGTTTATTTTCCCCCATTTCACTTTATCGTAAAACTGCCTTACTACACCTGTCACCTTTGCTTGTTGATCTAACCAAAGTCACAAGCATGCTGTGTGATCGATTGTTAAACTGACGTTTGCTTCTTTTTGCTTCTAACTTGTTTATTTTTCCTTGATATTGTCTTCCAGCACATTCTCATCATTTGTTTGAATGCCAATAAATGAATCCTTCGTAGTATATAAAAAAGTTTGTTTTTGCTTGATTTGATATGAAGACGCTAATTGACATGCCTGCTGTCAGCCGGGTTGTTAACCTCCATCGGCAAATGCAACAACATTCTTTATCTCACGGTTGTCAACACCTATTCGACTGTGAGCGTTCCGTCTTGGATTCCGAACATCTCTTCTGTAGAGGACCGGTACTGAAACTGCTCAGTGGTCACTCAGAGTGGCAAAAATGTCTATCGTAGCAACTGATGCATCCTAATTGCTGCGGAATAATCATTTGCAGTTTGTAGAGACTTGAATCCGATAATTAGCTATATGGGCTCCACTTGTGTGTCCTTCTTCCCTCTGTTGCCCGCACGTATGCGTGCCTCATCCATCTCTAATAATTCACTTACGACGAAGTCGTGTTGCCCCTACAAATTTTTATGTACAGCCGTTTGCTGTGCACCCTCTTTAGACAACTCGCCATACGCTTCCTTCGGATTTTACTGACCTAAAATCAATAGCTTCGGGATGTATTAATTAAATTTATTATTAAATCTGCCTTGCAGTACATCAACATATTTCGGGCTCGGGTTGGACGTTGACTGGTTCACTGAATTGAACAATTTACCTACAGATCTTTCGTTGTCAATCGAGGTGGAACATTTGAATTCCTGCTCATTGCTGGCTGTCATTTCGATCGCATTCTAGTTCACTTTCTCATCTCCTTTGTTTCTCTTTCAGTCTTCCACACTTCTTCCCTATGACCATCCGACTAGTCGTCGTGTGCGTCGTGTTTGCGAGACACTTCAGCCATGCAATCCTAGCAACCGTTTGGCTGTGCTTTGGCTCGACCGCGTGCATCGCGTGATGCGCTCACATGACCTGATGCGCTCCACCAATCCTGCCAATTTCGTTCGTGTCCCGTTGCACTCTCCATTCCTCGAGTGTTTGGCTCACCCCACAGCACCGCATAGGCCCAACGAACTCAATCCTACCACCGTGTCGTCGCATTCCCATCTTCTTCAGGTTCGTGCACTTTCTCGTCATCAGCTTCTATCAGCGCTTTCTTTTTGCACCGTTGATTTTTGCCAAATAAGGCCGTGTTGCCTCAATGTAACACGACGCTTGTCATTTATCCACATTCCTGGAGGCACTCATACCAAACTAATGTTTTCGATTTACAGATTAAATAAATTGCCTCACAAGAAAGATCGGTCGGCTTAACCCGTCAACATTCAGTTAACGGAGATTACAGTTCACGTGCTAAAGGCTCACCTGGACTGACGCTGTGCTGGGCTTTCACGTGTTTCCTCAGACTATGCGACAACCTATCTGTTTGTTGCTGACTTGCTTCCGCGTGCGTCGAATCCGGTGTCACCCGGTCACTGAGGCTCTGGCTCACTCAAGTGCCTGCCGTTAATAGTGGTCATAGTAATTCACATGGTTCACAGGTCTTACTCGCTACGTGTCGACTCCACACGCGTTTAGTTTTGGAGCCATTAGCACAAAGCACACGGCCCTGGTACTACTATTTGATTCAGCTTTTCAACTGCTGAATGGAAACTTCGAAAGAACTTTTGAATTGATCACTTCGAGGGTGTTATAGACCCTGTGTCGTCTTTCTACTTTTTCCTCTCCTCCATAACTCTTTCAAACCCACTTTCTTTTCGCACTAAAATTTCTGACTGCCTGAATCTCATTGACATGCAGATTTCTTAAATAAATAAATAAATAAATAAACGTTTTATTCCTCAGCAGTGCGAGGCAAAGACCAATTGGGTGGTCTTATCAACATGTACAACGTGATCGCATAATATAGTTAATTGTTCGTCTCTTGATCGAAAGTTCCCATAAGGGTTTTGAAATGATTAGCAGTCAATAGGCCAGTCACAATTTGATGGAAAATCTTGGCGAGTGACGACGATGGTACAGAGACATCAGCTTGGAAGGCGTAGTGCAGCTACGAACCAGTGCGTCAAAGGAGAAAACAGAATTGGTTAAACGGATTAAATGGAGTAAGATCGTTCTCAAATATATACTCAATAATGCAATTATATGTAGGTAATATTATATTATTGAAACGAATAGAGGATATAGTGACTTTCATACGTATCCAGGACCTTTCTCATACAAATCATCTAGAGTCACCGTTTGGCTTAGTGTTGACCAGATGTTTGCAACAGTCAGGTGAATATTAATCATGCGTCTGAACTGTGCATAGGTAGTGCAGTTTCTAACACTCGATGGAAGTTTGTTCCATATTAACGCGTATTTTACAGAGAAAAATTTTGAGCGGAGCTTTGTGCGAGACTTTGGCATTTTCACTGTGCGCTCGCTGTTTCTTAGTTCATAGCGCATACGAGTCTGAAACTCGAGTTGTGGCTGAGCAGTGAAGGTCAATCCGAATAGTAAGCGGTATAAAAGGCACAGATTAAGTTTGAGTCTGCGTAGCCATAGCGGCTCCAGATTTAGCGCCTCGCAACGCTCACGGTATGTCATAGTATTAGGCATGTTCAGAAACCTTTTTGTGAATGATCGTTGAATGTTTTCTAGTGCTATAATATCCACTTTTCTCAGATTACTATGCACTATCGTACAGTACTCAAGTTTCGGCCTAACACATATTTTAAAGGCTTGAAGCCTAGAATCCCTCAAAATAAGAGTTCGACTTATGTAGGCGATCACTTTTCTGGCAGAAGCCTGCAAGAATATAACATGCTCTAAAAAGTTAAATGAGGCAGAATATCTTAGACCAAGGTCTCGGACTGCGCCACACACAGGAATAGGGGTATCGTTTAATGTAAGGATGTTCAGAGAAGGGCCACAGCCGTAGTATCTACGGTGCCGTTTCATGTTTCGGTTCTCATTTCTGACGCTGCTTGTCAGACCGAGCCAGTGTTCCGCGCACTGGCTCGGTTTCAGGTGACGGTAGCTCCACTTTTGTTTACTGCAATTCTGATGTATTCAAGAGTAGTAGGGGATTTTCGATATAATTAATTGAAGTTCCTCGCAGCCGGCTTCCAAATCAGATTGTCCTTCACATGCCCGGAAAAGCACTAGACTGCAGTTTTAGTCTTTTGGGGAACGTCAGTAGTGCGCATCCATCGGATCCAACAGGATTCGAACCTGTGACCACCAGCAGTTTGAACCGCCAGTCAATAGCTTATGCCACTGGGCTACGGGGAACATCTTCGGACCATCATTATTTGCACCCTAACTGCGATATGGCGCGTCGTATCCTCCACTGCCATGCGAGTGACGAACGTTGCAGAGGACAGGGTTGCCCCGAAAGACACGACGTCCGCTAACAGTAGCTATGTACGACATAGCATTTAGAAACTGCCAGGGCAGGTATATTTCGATGTACTCATGAGTAGGGGATTTTTGATGTAATTAAGTGAGGTTCTGCGCAGCCAGTTTCCGAATCAGATACTCGTTAACATGTTTGGAAAAGCACTAGACTGCAGTTTCAGTCTGTTGGGCATCGTCAGTAGTGCGCATCCCTCGAATCCATGACCACTAGCCGCTTGAACCGCAAGTCATCAGCTTACGCCACTGGGCCACAAGGGACAGCTTCGGACCGTCATGATTTACAAGGTAACTGTGATATAGCGCATCTTATCCTCCACTGCCATGCGAGTGACGAACGTTGCAGAGGACAGGGTTACCCCGAAAGACACGACGTCCGCTAACAGTAGCTATGTACAACATAGCATTGTTATGGCGGATATATTTTGATGTACTGATGAGTAGGGAATTTGGATGTAATTAATTGAGGTTCTTCGCAGCCAGTTTCCAAAGCAGATAGTCGCTCGTATTCGCCACCCTGGATACACGCGGCGTGGCAAATACATTCGGCGCAGTCGCCACGGGGAACCTGTTAAGTTGGACCCATACAACTAGCATCCGGCATGAGTTTCTATCAGCAGTTCAGTTCGATACTGCTGAAGGAGAATGGTGAAATGCTTCAAGACTAAATCTTTCCGATTTATCTCAATTCCTTGATTCTACCGGCTATCATTGTTTTTTTTCCGATGAGTATTCCGGTATGCAAGTTATACCAACTGGACGGCTGAGTAAAGTTTAGTCTGTCAGATGTGCTCCGGACATAAAATTGCAGCGAATTCTGTTACATCACACTTACGTCGCTATAATGATTAGCAAGCGAGTTAATCAAAGCCACAAACTAGGCGACGAATGCATGGCACCATTGACTTCTTAATGGCACTATATCGGACACTTTGACCGATGGATTTACAGCTTGCACTCTGGATAACCTTCCTGCAACCGGAATCTCTTTGCTAATAGTTTTCCAATGCTTTATCGGTGCTTGCCTCTTGTCTGCGCGTGTTTTTTATCTTTAAGCTTCGATGCATCCATGCACAACTTGGTTTACTCAACACCAATCCTCTTAATTACCGAGAAACTGCTTGAGTTAACTCATCGACACACTATTCTGTACCTATTCATCTTCTTTATTGTATAGTTCATTAAATGGTTAGGCTATTTGTCAAAGGCAGTCATTTCTACTGACAGCACACTGTCGGCTGGTGATCGGAAGGGTCACGGGCTTGTCTTGTTATCCGGAGGTCATCGTTTCAAGTCTGACCTCGCGGTATGCTCAGTTCACATGCGACTTGTGGTAGTTGTGTGGCACCAAACTATCAGTACAGTGTGTCGGCGTACTGCTGGTCCTTTGCCCTGCTTCTGGCCAAGGATGGATTGTTTCGCATTGTGACTCAATCAGTGCCACCGTAACCTTCGGTGCCTTCACAACGACACTGGACCTTAACGTTGTGTGACAGTTTGCGTATCTCGTCAACCCGTTGAGCTATATTGGTTGAGACCCTTGAACCTCTTAAGAGCTACTCCCATCATGGTTGGTCAATGATTAGAAGTTAGACGAACTCCTTTTTCTGGTCCTGGTTGTGCATTTGAAATGGGATGGCGTCCATTTCTGTAAAACAAAATCATTACCACCTCCGCCACCTTGCGGACAAGCTTTTGAGCCGAAGGCTTTGGTTGTGGACCTTAATCATCCTCCTGGCAGTATCTCAGCCATCGTACAATCATGACTGCTTCTTCAGACTTCAACTATATCCTACATGGGCCGTCGCGCAGCTTATCAAGGCTTGTCGTATCTGCTACATACACCAGGGCGGATAAGCGAAAACATGCTCCTGCTGACGCCTCTGTTCTTTCCTTTCCAACCGTTTCTTACTCCCCCCCCCCCTCAGTCCTCATTACTAGCCTTCCTGCTATAATTCCCAGTTTAATTGACAGCAACCTCAATGTCACTGGAATCATACCATGTGCAGCTACCTTCCAGCACCAAGCGCTGGAAACCAATCGCCAACTGCTCTGTCTCTCTGGCGGCGTTCAACATTCGCACTTTAAGACAAATAGGTCAACAGGCTGCACTCCCACGCACATTGAAAACGGTAAGTATTGACTTGCGTTGTGTATCGGAAACTAGGATCAATGACCCTCATGTGGTTGTTGAATTAACTGCGTCCGGCTTGTTCTTTCGCCATTTGTTGCGCTCATCCGGAGACACTGATGCTGGCGCGGTATCGTACTCAACTCCAAGGCTGAGTCCTCGTTGGTTGATTGGATTCCCGTGAGCAGCCGTTTGTGTGCAGGTCGTTTGACGACGCTGTTTATTTGTGGTTTCTGCATATACGCTCACCGATTACAGCTTTGATGCTGCCAAGGACGCTTTCTACCTCGAATTGGACACGTTATTACTCAGTGTTACATGTTCAAATATCATAGTTCTTGCACAGGATATGAATGCGCAACTAGGTCATCTGAGTTCTTCAGGTGTTTTTCTAGGTGGTAACTATGGACTTAACTCCGAACGGACAGATAATGGCGAGCGGCTGTTACAGCTTTGCGCAGTGCACCAGCTTTTAGACACAGCGGACGCCGAAGTGCCACTTGGCGTTCTCCTGTAGCTGACCAGCGATTGACCCTAATTGATCACATTGCCATAAGTTATAGGTGGCGTGGTTCCATCCTAGATT